ACTGATGCTGAAGCTGAAACTCCAATCTGTTGGTCACCTGATGTGAAGAGCTGACTCACTGGAAGAGACCCTGATGCTGGGAGAGATTGAGGGCAGGAGAAGGGGACGACAGAGGATGAGATGGCTGGATGGCATCATCAACACGATCGACATGAGTTTGGGTAAACTCTGGGACTTGGTGATGGACAGAGAGGCCTGGCGAGCTGTGATTCATGGGATCGCAGAGAGTCGGACACGACTGAGCGACGGAACTGAACTGAAAAGTAGTTCAAAGTGTGTGTTAATCTGTTTCCAGTCGTAAAATTAAAAGCATAAACTTTGACCATATTTGTATGGCAATGATAAACTTTCAGTAGAAATGCAAAGTAAAATTTGAACAGGAGTGAAATATTTTCTTCCAGGAAAACAGTGAGTAGCCACGTGGTGCAAGCCCTTCATTATTTATAGTGCTGCTTCCTTATAACTGCTTTCCCTTGATGAAATAGAGGGGGTATGAGCAGAGGGGATGGGGCAGAGCCCTTAGATGTCAGAAGGAAGGATGCTGCTTCCTGACACCACAGAAGGGTCACTCTGCCTGCTCAGAGTCAGGCTCTGCAGCAGTGACGTGCCACCTGTCCCCTCCCCGCTGAGCACAGAGTCCTGAGCACAGTTTGCGCTGCGTCAGCCGGGCCCACTGTCCAGTTCAGTGCTCAGGTCCTCCAGTCCTGGAAAGAGCAGCAGAGCTGGCGGTGTGAGGTGTCTGGGAACCAACAGGTCCCAGCCAGAGACCCCAAACCATGATGCCTGATTGTCCCCAACCCTCAGGATCTGCGATTTGTCCTTTGGTTACAGACACGGTCACTCAGGTTCCGTGACGACTGTGGGATCCTATCCTTGGATGAAAGATAGGATGGGGGTGATCATGATCGGGCACCTGGACACAGGAGGTGCCCCCACAGTCACCTTCTCTTCTGCTTCCTGGGAGCTGGGAGCAGAATTAGCCTCACTCAGGAAGGAAGCTTCTGATTCCCAAGGCAATAGGCAGTGAACACGTGGCAAATGTTTTATCTAACTTACATAGGAAAGAGGAGACCAGGAACTACTACAGTGGGGTCACGGAGCATAAAAACAAAATGCTTATGGTTCACGGGGAAAGCACCTCCAAGCGATCTGTGTGTGCCTGTGTGCGTGTGTAAGGCACTGCTTCATTTCTAATGAAGGAGAAGGCACCCGCGTCCTGCACAGTCAGGAGGCGGCATCCACGGGGTCATCACTGTCCTGACCTGACCCTGATTTAAAGGAATACGTGTCCCCGATCCCCTCAGTCCTGACCCTGAGCTGTGAGGGCGCCGTGTACAGACTCACCCTGAGGGTCTGAGGGGAACCCACAGACGGCCCTGAGGTCACAGCGGACACAGAACGGAAGCCCGGCCAGAAGGCAAGAATGAGACAGAGCACAGAGCAGGGCCAGGGCCTGCCCCGAGGGCTCAGGTCACCAGGTCGCAGGCTGTGTGTCCGGGCCTGGACGCCAGGGGCCGCGCGGGGGCCGATCCTGAGGTGGTTGGGGGACGGGCGCTGGGACTCTGGCGCTGCCTGGTGGCCTCTGCTCAGGGCTCCCAGTATGAGCTCCCACCCCGGGGCCCCCACAACCCCGCCCCAGTGAACCCACTGGCCACCTCAGGCACAGGGGCCTGACCCAGGGCCCAGGGAGGCATCAGAAAATTGTCTCGGGAAGGGGGTTCGTTTGCATGAGAGGACCCTCCCCTCTCACAGTGTGAAGAGGGAAGGAGCGGCGTGGCGACGCGCTGCTCAGCTGTGGGGCCACAGAGGGCAGGACGCCCTGACCGTGTCCACCACGGCCTGGTGCCCTCTGCTCCTCACCCTGGCCGCTCTCTGCACAGGTGACCGGATGGGGGGACGGGGGACGGGCCCTGGGAAAGCACACGTCCCTTCTCCCTCGTCTCCCACCTGAAGCCCACAGTCACCATCTCTGTCTCTCCCCTCTCCAGGACCCTGGGCCCAGGCTGTGCTGACTCAGCCGCCCTCCGGGTCCGGGACTTTGGGACAGAGGGTCCCCATCTCTTGTACTAGAAACAGGAGCAACACTGGGGGTAATTACGTCAGCTGGAACCGACAGCTCCCAGGATCGTCCCCACACCTCTGATCTATGAAAACAGCAAACAGCCCTCAGGTGTCCCAAACTGAGTCTCTGGCTCCAAGTCTGGCAAGTCGGCCTCTCTGACCACTTCAGTTCAGGCTGAGGACGACACTGATTATTACTATTTCTCATGGGATGACAGCTTGAACGTTTCCGCAGTGCTTCAGGCCAGAGTGGAAAGAGACAAAATTCTGCTTCCCCCACAGCCATGGGGCTCCCAGGGCAAGGCATTTGCCCCTCCCTTCCTGGAGTCCCTGAGAGCACGGAACCCAGGGGACTGAGTGTCCCCTGACTGCAGCAGAGCTGCCCCCTCAGCTCGACTCCCCTCCCCAGGGCAGCGGCTCACAAGGGGTGGTCACACACCCCTGGATGAAGGAGCTGCTGGCAGCAGTTGCCCCAGATTCCCAGGTCGGAGTCAGCAGCACAGAGCAGGGGCGTCAGTGCCACCCTTGCTGGGTCAGTGGGCAGTGAACACACATCCTTCCGCCACAGGAGAATCTCCTGTTAAAGGAAAAGGAAATGGAACTCAGAGTTTCTTCAAGTAATTTCCACACAGTCCAGGATCCAGTAAACATTTTCATTTCAATCAAGAACCAGGAAACTAAATATTGAAGGGAAGTGACACGGCATAGACATTAATGTTGAGAGCCTCAGATAATGAAATCAGGTGACAGATATTTTTAGATACAAATCATCAAATCTATTTGATGAGCAAATACAAACACTCTTGGGTCCAAAGGAAAAGGAGATAAATGGAAGGGAAAAAAACAGAATCATGGGAAGAAGATAGTCAGAATAACCTGAAAATACAATGGGTGAACATAAAAAGTTCTCTGTATACTATCAAAGACATGTAATATTTATTATTTAACTCAATTATTTGTTCATTGGTAAGGTATTTGGTGATAGGAAAAAAGGCAGCCCCACCTTCTAGGTGTCGCAAGGGGTAAAGAACCCTCCTACCAATGCAAAAGACATAAGAGATGTGGGTTCTATCCCTGGGTTGGGGAGATCGTCTGGAGCAAGGAACGGTAACCCACTTCAGTGTTCTTGCCTGGAGAATCCCATGGACAGAGGAGCCTGGTGGGCTCCAGTCCATGGGGTCCCAAGAGTCAGACAGGATTGAGAACCAAGCAACTGAGCAGCACCTTGCTCACACTTTCAACACCATGAACGTTCCAGAGTTCGTCACCAGGGGGCGGTGGTTATCAGCTCACAACAGCAAACGTCAACACACCCACGTGGTCCCCTGACCTGGCCCTGCACGGGGCTCAGTGGCCTGAGTTGGACGTGACAGCAGGTGCTTCCTCTCAGGGGACAAACCCTGAGCCGCGGCCCCCGGGCCTCCTCCTGGGAGTGATGCTGCCCATGGAGCCGAGCACCCAGAATTGGAGGGTGAAGGGGTGAGGTGGTCATCAGTCCCCACCCTCTTCTCAGAAACAGAGGAGGGGAGGAGCCCCCGGAGCCCGCCCCGTGCCCCCCTCCAGCTCTGCTCAGCCTGCTCCTGTTCCTCCTCACCTCTTTGCTAAGAGCCTGCCCTCCCGCTCCCCTCATTCGTGACTTTCCTCCCCATCCTGGGCCTCTCTCTTTCTACAGACCTACAGTGTTGACCTCCATGGTGATGAGCCAGTTCACTCTATCAGAAGATCATGGACATGTTTCCAAATCTTCCTGAACTTTACACTCACTTCCTCGGCCCCTCCTTAAACCTCTCTAATCCTTCCTTCCCGATAAGCCTCAGGGCTCTGGATCTCAGGTGTGACCCAGCTTTCCCCTCCGGGCTCCTCCCCAGGTTCCCCTTGTGTCCCAGGGGATTTTGAAATCCTTGTGTGGCTGATTTATCCCCTGAAACCTCACACTCTGTCCTGTGTGCCATCGAGTGAGGAATCAGGTGGGGAGAGAAACCCTGGTCCTGAGACCTGGGAAATGATTCCTGGCTGAGGCGTGCCTGTGCTCAGCTGCTGTGGGATTGATTTTATGCACAGTGAGCAGAGAAGCTGTTGGGGCCCTCGGCAGGGAAAGCAGATGCTCTCCTGGGGTTCTGCCCCCGGGGCGATCACTGCTGTTCCTACTGGAGCATGTCTAAGTCAGCTTTGCTCCCTGTGGTCACGTCTGAGTGTCCTGAGAACAGCGACCTGCCGTGTCGTGTCCTGTCCCTCATCTCAGATCTGAGACCCACCCAAGGCTCTGATAACTCAGTCTGCCCTGTTTTCGCAGATAGAACGTCCCGCTATGATGTAAAAATCCCTCAGTGGAGATGCCATACGTGTCAGAAAGTCTTTACAATTATCTTGTTTAAAGAACACAGTCTACAAGGAAAATTATGTTTTAGAAATATTACCATGGCAATGCAAAATTAAAACAGAGCCAGAGTTGGACACAACTTAGTGTTTAACAACAACATCTTCTTCAGTTATATTTAGGCATCTATTTCAAGTGATGACCTTAGACTTCTACTTACCCATGAACACATTTTGGTTCATTTAAAATCTCAAAGTCACACCTCCACTGTGTAACACTCACATGCACTACAGGGTAAGGTACAGTTGGCTGTTATTTCCCATCCAGACACAGCCTGAAGGGTGTAATTTCAAAACCACTTTGGGGAAAGTTGCCTCTTCAGAGCTCTGATCACCAGGTCAGGATGTGTGTTTTTGGCAGGACACCAGGGGGCGATCGGAGGCCTTTCCTGAGTGTCTGGACCTGTGAGAGCAGAGACCAGTCCCCTGGTACTTGCTGGTGCTTTTTGCTCAGAGTTCCCTCTGTGACCTCCCTCCCCCAAGCCCCAGGCAACCCCACGTCTGACCACAGCTGGCCTCCCTCAGGCACAGGAAGCTGACCCAGGTCCCAGAGGTCATCAGAGCATTGTGGGAGTTGGGGTGAGGACGGTCATTTGCATGAAAGGAGCCTCCCCCTCTCACAGTATGAAGAGGGAAGGAGCGGCGTGGGGACGCGCTGCTCAGCTGTGGGGCCACAGAAGGCAGGACGCCCTGACCGTGTCCACCATGGCCTGGTGCCCTCTGCTCCTCACCCTGGTCGCTCTCTGCACAGGTGACTGGATGGGGGGACAGGGGAAGGGCCTTGGGAAGACTCACGGACCCTGCTCCCTGCTCTCGTGCCTGGACCCCCGAGTCACCATCTCTGTCTCTCTCCCTTCCAGGATCCTGGGCCCAGGCTGTGCTGACTCAGCCGTCCTCCGTGTCCGGGTCCCCGGGCCAGAGGGTCAGCATCACCTACTCTGGAAGCAGCAGCAACGTTGGTTATGGTAATTATGTGAGCTGGTACCAACAGGTCCCAGGATCGCCCCCCAGACAGCTCATCTATGGTGCAACCAGTCGAGTCTCGGGGGTCCCCGACCGATTCTCCGGCTCCAGGTCTGGGAACACAGCCACCCTGACCATCAGTTCGCTCCAGGCTGAGGACGAGGCTGATTATTACTGTGCATCTTATGACAGTAGTAGCAGTAATGGCACAGTGCTCCAGGCCAGGGGGGAAGTGAGACAAAAACCTGCTCTCCCCGAAGTCATGGGCCTCCTGGGGCTGAACCATCCTCTGCCAAAGTAGCAATTTGTTTGGTTTGTTTGGTCTAAAAGTGGGATCTGAGCCCCACGCTGGGAACTTGTTCCAGAAAATCTGTTCAGATCTCCTTCATTTGGCAGCTCCACCACCCCACTCCCCGCCGAGTGCTTTTCCTTGGAAACCACATACTATCTGATTTTCTCAAACTGAGCAGAAATCCCTAGATCCCAGGGGCAGATGCCGTGGGGACAGAGTTCCGGACAAGTCAGGTCAGAACCAGAGAAATGGAGTCCAGCGGTGTCTGAGTCGGGACACATCTGAGTGTCCAGTTTACGTCCTGGTCCCAAAGACTCTCCTCCTCTCTGTAGCTAGTAGTGGACGCTCAGGAGTCCCTGCTTGGTTCCTTGGTCTCAAGGCTGGAGTTCAGGCTCCTTGGCCATCACTGGGCTCAACTGAGGCCCATGCTGCTATCTCTCCTGGGACAGCCTATCAGGCTCACAGGTGACTTCAGACCACTGGGGAGGGGGCCGCCCACCCTGAAATCGCAGCCTCACTGGGCACATGGGATCTGCGAGCGCCGCATGTCACCACGACTGTGTCCTGCTCCCTGTCAGTGCCCTTTCACACACACGTGCAGGGTCTGCACAGCAGGCAGGGCTGGGCTGTGGGCCCAAAGTTTACCGAGATGCACATTTTACAATATTCCTTCGAATCCTCCCTTTTCCTTTAACCCTTAAATCTTCCTTATCTTCAAATTCCATGCACACGAAATTACACGTTTTCCATTGTACCAGAGGACTTTTGCTTAATAGGGTCCAGATCAAGCCATGCGGATCTTTGGCTGATGGAATCGGACCTCAGACACAGATACTGAGAAAGGAACACAATTATCAGGAAGTTGTTTGCAACAGACACTGTAGCAGCAGCTCTGAAATGGACTTCAAATCCTGTTTCATTTCACACGCTGAGAATGAGTATGTTGTGGCTGTTCATCACAACTTACTGAACAATCTTTCACCCTAAACCCCCTTAGCTGATCTTTCTAGTCCTTCCGCTCCAGGTAAGACCATTTAGGGGAAAGGAATTTAGAACACTTTGTGATGTTCACACCAACAGTATCATTGTAAGTTCTGATCATGAGTCATGTGTTTTTCTATTATTTTCATCTAATATTTTGAAAGACTCTCGATATAATTTTCTTCTAAAAAGTGCAGATATTTTGAAGCTACCCCAGTTTATTGGTGGTTCTCAGAGCCCAGGATAGCTAAGCCCCTACACCTGGTGATGGTGTGGGTGTCAACCACGCAGCCCTGATGCCCTGGAGAGTCGTGACCAGCAGTGGTTTCACAGCCTGTGTGTGGGGAGACCCTGTCCCCTCACAGATCACATGTGACTCTGTGGTTCCTTGTTGAGTTTCCTGCTGGAGGAAGAGCCACATGGATCCTCACAAGGAGCATGAAGTGATTCCACGGGAAGGGAGGAGAGGTTCACAGTCACGGGGGAGTATGGTGTTGGGCTGAACAGGATCACTGGGGCAGGAAGGGGAGCACATCCGTTATACTCAGCCTCACATCTGCAGGGAAGGATTCAGGTTCGAGAAACGAAGGACGTGGGGGCTGATTAGGGGAAGGTTGTCACCCCATCACTCAGGGTCTCCTCCCGGTACTGTCCCTGATATGTGAGAGGTCCAACATCTGCCTCCTTCAAGTCCCCCCACCCCAGGGACCTCAGGTGCCCTGGCAGGGAGAGGAGGAAGTGGTTTGCATGAGGCCCCTCCTCCTCCTGACGGGCTGGAGGCATGGAAAGGCCCAGGACCCCACCTCCAGCCCACGAGGCTGAGGAGGCCGTGTCCTGGGAGGGTCCCCACCGTGGCCTGGATGGTGCTTCTGCTCGGGCTCCTCATTACTGCTCAGGTCAGGGGTCGGGGCTCTGCACCCTTGGGGCTCCTCCACGCGGGGTCTCAGGGCCCTTGTCTTGATAATAACGCCTGTCTCTCTCTTGTCACGCTTAGGGGTAGATGCTCAGACTGGTCCAGGAGCCAGCACTGTCAGTGTCTCCAGGAGGGACGGTCACCCTGACCTGTGGCCTCAGCTCTGGGTCAGTCACTACCAGTACCTACCCCGGCTGGTTCCACCAGACCCCGGGCCAGGCTCCCAGAGCTGTTATCTACAACACAAACAGCCGCCCCTCCGGAATCCCTGATCGCTTCTCTGGCTCCATCTCTGGGAACAAAGCCACCCTCACCATCACGGGGGTCCAGCCTGAGGACGAGGCTGTCTATTACTGTGCTATATACACCGGTAGTTACAATAATTTATACCACAGTAATGCAACCTCATGCGGAAGCACTACCAAAACCTGCCATTGTGCTCAGAGGACTCAGCGCTTTGAGGCGGGAGAGGCAGAGAGAGGGTGGAAATGCTCAGCAGCCCGTGGGGAGGGGCATCTGGGGTCCCATCTCCTTCCAGCAGTTCATGGCCCCTTGCCTGCTCCTGTCTCTTCTCTGAGGTGTCCAGCTCTTCGTGGGGACCCCTCTCTGCCCATAATGATGCGGAGGGAATCAGGTCCACATTTTATCAACAACACTGAGTCAGCGTCCCCAGCACAACCAACATGACTCTCCTTGCTGACGCTGATGATGACCCTTGATGACCTCTAGGGCTGGCAGATGAAATCTAGCAACTGCACCCTGGCAGGGGTCTCAGCATCACTGTGCGGGGACCTGGTCTCCCAGACCCTCCTGGCTGAAGCGGGCAGGGCCCCAACACCCTGGGGGTCAGGTGCCTCTAGGGCTCCAGCCCATCACAGCCTCCAGCCTGAGCCTGGCCAGGAGTCAGGCTGCTCAGCTCTCCAGGTTCCCATCCCAGACCTTGGCAGCCAAGGCAGGGCTGAACTTCTAGGCCACCCCCCAGCCTGAGAATGACCAGGGGGACAAGCCAGGCTCGTCTGTCCCCCGCTGACTCTGCCAAGGGTTGTGCAGGGCATTAGAGATAACACTGTCAGTGACGCAGCCAGGAGCTCAAGGAGCCAATGCCAGAACGTGGTCAAGGTCCCCGTGAGTGAATCTGCGGCTGTAGAAACGTATGCATCTACCTTCACAGGCTCCAAATCTTCGTAACAAACGGATTTCAGGGCTTCAGCAAGAGGATGTTATTTCCCTGGCTTTTCTCTTCTCTCCCATGAGGAGGAGGTGGTCATAACCTCAGAGGGTCAGACCGCCAGTGGGCTGTGCCCAGGGTGGGCAGCCTCTACCTCCCCGTTCCTCTGACCTTGGCACGTACCCGGACCTCGGACCTGAGTGCCCTTCTGTCCCTGCAGGGAGGCCACCTCACTCACCCTCACATCTCAACTGACCCCTCACAGTTGTGTCCAGGCCCCTATGCTGTGTTACCTCCCAGGATACGGGGACAGGACTGGGGTCCTCCCAGCGTGGAGCCCCCAGGGCCTCAGCACTGGCTTGGGAGGAGGAGCAAAAACCAGGGGAGCCTGAGGGACGGTGACCGTGGGGCCAACCCCCTCGCTGCATCAACAGTGCTGAATAGGAGGTGGGGGCGGGTGGTGGGCACTGCGGTCACCCCTCCCCCTGGTGCCCTGAGACCACGGAGCTCACGGGGCTGAGCGACCACCGACCGCAGCGCAGCTGCCCCGCTCAGCCTGGCTGCCCCTCCCTGAAGGCAGCAGGAAGCAGGGAGTGGTCTCAGCGTCCCCCTGGGCGGAAGGAGCTGCTGACAGGAGTTGCCCCAGGCTCCCAGGTGGGGGTCAGCAGCACAGAGAAGTGGGGTCAGGACCCCCCTTTGCTGGGCCAGTGGACAGCGGACACATACCATTGATTCATGGACTGTTGGTTGGAAGAATACAGGGCAGCCCTTCAATCCTCCGTTTCCCCACCATGACCATTCCCCGAGCACATCACCAGGGGGCGCTGTGCCCCGCTCAGAACCGGCCGACCCGGAACACCCCAGATGGTCCCCTGCCCCTGCCCCAGGGCTCACTGGACTGAGCTGGGCGTGACAGCAGGTGCTTCCTCTCAGGGGACCAAGTCAGAGCCCGGCCCCGGCCTCCTGCTGGGAGTGAAGCTGCACACGGGCCCAGGACCCACAACTGGAGGGTGATGGGCTCAGGGCGTCATCAGTCCCACCCGCTTCCCCAGGAGCAGAGGAGGGGAGGCCCCCAAGCCCACCCCTTGCACCCCTCCGTCTCCCCGCAGCCTCCTCTGCCCCTCCCCTGCTCTTTCCTAAGAGCACCCCTCTGACCCATGACTTTCCTGTCCGGTCCTGGGCTCCTGTCCACAACCCTTCACCAGCGCCGTCCTGCTCCAGACCAACGGCCTCTATCAGCAGGGGTCGGGGTCCAGTCTTCCTTGACCAGACGCTCACTTCCTTGTCCTCCCTTGCAACCTCTCTAGCCCGCCTACCGCAGAAGCCTCAGGTCTCCAGAGGCTCAGGTGTGACCCCAGGTCATCCCCTCCCGGCCAGGGCTCTCACTGCTGCCTTACCAGGCCTCCTTACCTCAGCTTATCGTCCTATGGGCCCTTCTGAGGGTCCGAGATCAGCAGACCTGACCCGTCACTCACTTTCCCTCAACTCAGCTCTGAGGCTGACCTGTGGCCCCCATACCTCAGCCTGCCCTGTTTTCACAAGCTGTTCAGAGATAAACACTCCCCAGCGGAGATGCAATATGTGGCAGAAAGAGCTGGTTCTAGCCCTGCCTCACTCAAAGTCCAAAAAGTTAAAAATGTAAATATCTTTGTGAAAATACATTTACTCCATAATAATCAAAATTTCCTTGGATACCTATGAAGTTATTTATAGAAAACCTTTTTAATGAAAAAAGGATTTACAATGATAATTAGTTTTCCAAAACTGTATCCTTGTGAATGAAAAATTAAAAGAGAACATAGATTTTCCCTCAGTTTAATTCATGCACACATTTTAAGGAATGACTGTAGATTTTCCCTAATCCATTACCACATTCTGGTTCACTTAAAATCTCACACACCCAGAATGTAATACCTATACCAGTGCAGGGCAAACTACAGTCAACTGGTCTTTTCGAACCAATCACTTCGAACTCTGCCTTCTCTAACCTGCTATTTGGGATGGTTGGTCCTAAGAGCTATTGTGTATCAGGATCCCTGGGAACACATGCTGCTCAGAGCCCTTCAGAGTCTCAATAAAATCTGCCAGGAGCATGACCAGGCCTGCTCCCTGCAGCCTGTGCCCTGTGCCAGCAGGAGAGACGCCCAGGAGGGGTCACTTCATAAGACAGGACATGGGCACGGGGTCCAGTGTGGGGAAAGCTTCACACACAGCAAGTTCTGTTCAGTTCAGTAGCTCAGTCGTGTCCGACTCTGTGGGACCCCATGGACTGCAGCACGCCAGCCCTCCCTGTCCATCTCCAACTCATGGAGTTTACTCAAACTCATGTCCATTGAATCAGTGATGCCATCCAACCATCCCATCCTCTGTCATCCCCTTCTCCTCCTGCCTTCAACCTTTCCCAGCACCAGGGTCTTTTCAAATGAGTCAGTTCATTGCATCAGGTGGCCAAAGTATTGGAGCTTCAGCTTCAGCATCAGTCCTTCCAATGAATATTCAGGACTGATTTCCTTAAGGATGGACTGGCTGGACCTCCTTGCAGTCCAAGGGACTCTCAAAAGTCTCCTCCAACACCACAGTTCAAAAGCATCATTTCTTTGGTGCTCAGCTGTCTTTATAGTCCAACTCAACTTTTCCATGACTACTGGAAAAACCATAGCTTTGAGTAGACAGACCTTTGTTGCCAAAGTAATGTCTCTGCTTTTTAATATGCTGTCTAGGTTGGTCATAGCTTTTCTTCCAAGGAGCAAGCGTCTTTTAATTTCATGGCTGCAATCACCATCTGCAGTGATTTTGGAGCCCCCAGAATTAAAGGCTGTCACTGTTTCCACTGTTTCCCCATCTAATTGCCATGAAGTGATGGGACCAGATGCCATGATCTTAGTTTTCTAAATGTTGGGTTTCAATCCAACTTTTTCACTCTCCTCTTTCACTTTCATCAAGAGGCTCTTTAGCTCACACACACAATGAAGATCCAGGCGTTTAGGAATGCAGAGTCCCACCTCAGGCCTCTCTCCACACGTTCACCCCCTCCTCAGAGAGGCGCCCCCTCCTCCTCAGGGCTGAGGGGACACACAGAGGAAGGAGGACTCTGCCCCCCAGGGGGAAGGCCCACAGGGGAGGGCCCCTGCTGTCCTGCACAGAAGGAGACCCACCTTCCCGCTCCGGGGCCGGCAATGCCCTGACCTGATCCTGATCTGAGAGGAATCTGCATCTCAGACGCCTCTCGGTCCTGACCCCTGAGCAGTCACGGAAGCCATGGACAGACTCGCCCTGAGGATTTGAGAGGAGCCCATGATGGCCCTGAGCTCACGGGGACACAGGAGGGGCACCTGGCCTGGTGCTAAAGAGGGGACAGCGCCCAGAGCAGGGAACAGGATCTGTCCTTGAGGGCTCTGGTCTCCAGGTCACAGGATGTGTGTCTGGGCCTGGAGGAGAGGCGGGGGGCGCTCCGGGTCCATTCCTGAAGATGGGGGGTGGGAGGCAGAGCGGGGACCCCCCTGACAGAGCTGCCCGCCAAGGCCTGGTGGCCTCTGCTCAGGGCTCCCAGCTGTGACCTCCCACTCCTGGGCCCCACAGAGCCCCACCCCTGACAACCCTCTGGCTGCCTCAGGCACCGGGTCCCAGGGAGGGGTCAGTGTGATGCACGGGATCGTCTGCATGAAAGGAGCCTCCCCCTCTCAGAGTATGAACAGGGAAGGAGCGGTGTGGGGACGCGCTGCTCAGCTGTGGGGCCACAGAAGGCAGGACGCCCTGACCGTGTCCACCATGGCCTGGTGCCCTCTGCTCCTCACCCTGGTCGCTCTCTGCACAGGTGACTGGATGGCGGGACAGGGGAAGGGTCTTGGGCAGACACAGGGGCTCTGCTCCCTGCTCTCCTGTCTGGGCCCCAGAGTCACCATCTCTGTCTCTCCCCCTTCCAGGATCCTGGGCCCAGGATGTGCTGACTCAGCCGTCCTCCGTGTCCGGGTCCCTGGGCCAGAGGGTCAGCATCTCCTGCTCTGGAAGCAGCAGCAACATTGGGGGTGATAGTGTGAGCTGGTACCAACAGCTCCCAGGAAAGGCCCCCAGACTCCTGATCTATGGTGATGATACCAGAGCCTCGGCGGTCCCAGATCCAACCTCTGGCTCCAAGTCTGGGGACTCGGCCTCCCTGACCATCACTTTGCTCCAGGGTGAGGATGAAGCTGATTATTGCTGCAGGTTTTACGATGACAGCTTGGATAGTCACACAGTGCTCCAGGCCAGGGTGGACGTGAGACAAAAACCTGCTCCTCCGCAGTGCGGGGCTCCTGAGGCAGAGCCAGCCTCTGTCAAGGCAGCTACTTCCTTTGTATGTTCCCCCTAAAACTCAGGTGTGAGACCCAGAAAATTCTGTTCTCATCTCCATGATTTTACCCCACCCCATGTTTTTGTTAGGCAGCAACACATTTTCTCATCTTTTGAAATTGAGGAAAATCCCTGGATGCCCGTGGCAGGCGCCCTGGGGATGGAGTCCCTGCTGGTCAGGTCAGAACCAGAGAAACAAGAGCCCAGCTGTGTGTGAGTCGGGACACACTTAGGGTCCTGTGTCCACTCTGTGTCCTGCTCCCAACAGCTCCGCTCCTCTCTGACGCTAGTATTTGACCTTCGGGGGTCCCTGCAGTTTCCAGGTCTCCGGACTGGAGTCCGGGCTCCTTGGCCATCCCTGGGCTGAGCTGAGGCCCAGGCTGCTGCTCCTGCTGTTTCTGTGACAGCCTCTCAGGCTCGCCCAGAGCTCCAGGCCTGTGGGTACTAGGCCAGGGCTCCTTTCCATCTGGTGTGTGTGGGGGTGGGGGGGTGGGGGCGTGGCTGCCTGGGAGTAGAGGCTCCTCCTCTCCCCTCTGTCCTCAAAGTCCCTCCCGCGGTCCATTTCCAGGAGAGTGTCTCAAAGGAAGCAGATCGTCGATGTCCCCATCTCTGGGGATGCAGTGTCTCTTTGTCCTGAAGCTCAGGACCTGAGGTGGGGGGTCAGACTGAGGTCATCTCAGACCTGAACTCTGACTCGGAAGTCCTGAGTCTCCATCACTGGGGCATCTGCCTGTTGCCAGAGCTCTGCCCCCTCTCACTGGCCCTCACCATGAACGCCTCTGCTTTTTGCTCAGTGGAGAGATTACTTCGATTGTTGCTGCACCGACATGAGAGCATCTAAGATGCATCTTACTTGGATCTCTTGGAACAACTGCTTCCCCTTGTTCCTCTCTGCTAAGATCCACCATTGAGTCTTCCTGTTTAATCGCTTTGTCTAACACTTGCTGAATGAGGTTGAAGAATAATGGAGCAAAAGTCACATTGACTGCTCCTGATGTGAGGCATTTACACAAATTATTGTCACCATGCACCAAGCAGAGATTAGTTGATGCTTTTTCAATATACGTGTCACAAACCACCACACAAGGCGGTACACTGATGACATTTTTCTCCAACTAAAAAATGTCTGTTCTATGCCTTCCTATTGAGGGAGTGAGTTCCTTAGTTGGTCACAGGTCGAGGGCCCCCCTGGTGTGGTCATCTTACTGCCCATGGGCTCCAGACCCAACCTCTACATTCCCACCTGATCCACTGCTTGTTACCTGTCCCCCAAATGGGACCTCAACACTCGTCATAACCCTACGCACATTCTCTCTAGGATCTCCCACAGGGTTATGAGGAGTATGCCTACAAAAAGCCGTTGGTTTTCTAGTCGCTAAAAATAAAGAAGCAAAAAGGATCATTTCAAAAATTCCTTTCATGATAGCATCAAAAATGATAAAATATTTAAGAATAAGATCATCCCAGTAGTTGAAAGCCTTATACACTGAAAAATAAAAAACTCTGCTGAGAAAGATTAACACAGAATTAAATGCGTGAGGAGAGACCTTTGATCACAGATGGGATGAGCTCATACTGTAAAGGTGTCCTCAGGCCTGCCCGATGATCTGCACGTTCACAACTACCGCATCACTTGTTCACTTCTCCCAGTTTATCCCCTCAGGTCCACAGATCACCTCCCTCTGGTTCTTTGGGAGGAAGCTGGGTAAATATCTGTCTTTGTGGACTTAGATCCCCACCACCTGGATTTCCACTCCATAGCAAAGGTGGGCATCAAAAAGTCTATACTGTGGTCTGAGGTGACCTGAAAGGAAAAACTAAAACAACAGCCACCACCACAACATCATGAGTGTAAGAGAACCGTGGAAAACTGGGATGAGGTCTGAGTCTCTTTCTATTCTGAGAACCTTACAGCTTTTATGTGGGTCAGGGAAAATGTGGACGGTAATGAGCCCAGACCCCAGATGGAGCAAACTCACCTTCAGATGATCCTGATATATCTGAGAAGTGTCACTGTGCAATTATTCCTTCTCATTCTCCCTTTTCCCCTAAGACTAAGATCCTCCTTATCTTTAAATTCCATGCACGCAAAATTACATATTTTCTCTACAGTAGCAGAGGAACTGTATTTAATAGGCACCAAATCAACTAGTGTGGATCTTTGTCTGATGGAATCAGGCCTCAGATACAGAGAAGGAGGAAAGAACACAATTACCAGCTCATTGTGTGAAGCAGAAAAAGGTCTGCTTAGTCAAAGCTATGGTTTTTCCAGTGGTCATGTATGGATGTGAGAGCTGGACAATAAAGAAAGCTGAGTGCCAAAAAATTGATGCCTTTGAACTGATGTTGGAGAAGACTCTTGAGAGTTCCTTGGACTGCAAGGAGATCCAACCAGTCCATCCTAAAGGAAATCAGTGCTGAATATTCACTGGAAGGACTGATGTTGAAGCTGAACCTCCAATACTTTGGCCACTTGTTGCGAAGAGCTGACTCATTGGAAAAGACCTTGATGCTTGGAAAGATTGAAAGCTGGAGGAGAAGGGGATGACAGGGGATGAGATGGTTGGATGGCATCACCCACCCAATGGACATGAGTTTGAGTAAGCTCCGGGAGTTGGTGATGGACAGGGATGCCTGGCATGCTGCAGTTTGTGGGGTCGCAAAGAGTCGGACACGACTGAACGGCTTAGCTGAACTGAACTGGAATCAACTATTGTGGATCTTTGTCTGTTGAGAGCTGGGGCCTCAGACACAGAGAGTGAGAAAAGAACATAGTTACCAGTTCATCGTGTGAAGCAGGCCCTGTAGCAACAGCTCTGAAACGGACATGAGATCATAATTCCTTGCACAGGGTGAGAACAAGAATTTGGTCTGTACTTCACAGCTTACTGCACACGTTTTCTCTTCCTACACTCCTGGTTCATCCTAAACCCCTTCACCTCTTCTACCCGTCCTTCTGCTCCACATAAGAAAACATAACAGACAGAGGATTTAAACTATCTGGTGATGTTCACACCTACTTATTCAGACACAGTCTCATTTGATTTTCTGATTATGAATCATGCATTTTTCTATTATGTTTATCTGACATTTCTGAAGAATATAAAAATTGAATGCTTATATTATTATGGAATTTCTTTAAAACTGCAGGTACATTGAAACTTTCCCAGTTCATTGATGATTTCTCAGCTCACAGGATAGCTACCCTCCCCACCGCGCCGGGGGCTGGTGTGGGCGTAGGCACCTGCAGCCCTGATGCCCTGGACGGTTGTGACCAGCAGTGGTTTCACAGCCTGTGTGTAGGGAGGCCCTGTCTCCTCAAATGCCAGATGTGACTCTGTGGCTCCCTGTTTGGTTTCCTGATGAAGGAAGGGGCACTCACAGATCCTCACAAGGAGCAGGAAGTGATTCCACTGGGGAGGGAGGAGAGGTTGCAGTCACGGGGGGACTGGTGGTGTTGGGGTGAACAGGACCGCTGGGGCCGGAAGGGGAGCACATCCATTATCACTCAGCCTCACATCTGCAGGGAAGGTTTCAGGTTTGAGAAACGAAGGATCTGGGGGCTGATTAGGGGAAGGTTGTCACCCCATCACTCTGGGTCTCCTCCCTGTGCTGTCCCCACGCTGGGTGAGGACCAGCATCTGCCTCCTTCAAGAACCCCCACCCAGGGACATCAGGTGACCTGGGCAGGGAGAGGAGGAGGTGATTCGCATGAGGCCTCTTCTCCTCCTGATGAGAGGGGAGACATGAAATCACCCAGGACCCCACCTCCAGCCCAGGAGGCTGAGGAGGCCGAGTCCTGGGAGGGTCCCCACCATGGCCTGGGCGGTGCTTCTGCTCGGGCTCCTCAATTACGGTTGAGGTCAGGGGCTGGGACTCTGCATCCGTGACGGCACCTCCAAGCAGAATCTCAGGGACATTGTCTCCATGACAACCCCTCCTCTTCCTTGTCACTCTTAGGGGTGGATGCTCAGACTGTGGTTCAGGAGCCAGCACTGTCGGTGTCTCCAGGAGGGACGGCCACCCTGACCTGTCTGGGTCAGTCACTACCAGTAACTAACGCGGCTGGTTCCAGCAGACCCCAGGCCAGGCTCCCCGACTGCTGATCTACAGCACAAACAGCCGATATCCTGGGGTCCCTGCTCGCTTCTCTGGCTCATTCTCTGGAAACAAAGCCGCCCTCACCATCACGGGCGCCCAGTCTGAGGATGAAACCGACTATTACTGTGGTCTGTGAGCTAGTAGTTAAAATATCGTGGTGATGTAAGCCCTTGGGGAAGTGCTACCAAAACCTGCCCTTGTGCTCAGAGGGCTCAGCACTTAGTGGCAGGAGAGGCAGAGAGAGAGGGTAGGACAGGTCAGGATCTCCGTGGGGAGGGAGGCGCTGGGCCCCATCTCCTGTCCACAGCTTCATGGCCCCGTGTCTCCTCCCAGCTCTCCCTGGCTGTGTCCATCTCTCCAAGGGGAGCCCTCTCTCTCCATGTT